CGGTCATTTCGGAGGAACAGTTTGGGTTCTTACCAGGGAGAAGGCTGGCTGACGGGGTTTCGCTGGTTGCGGACATCGTTGACGCGGCGAAGTGCAAAGACTCGGATTGGTACTTGCTTCTGGTGGACTTCCAGAAGGCTTTCGACTCGGTCTCTCGGGAATACCTTTTCGGCACGATGGCGAGGATGGGTTTCCCGCGGAAGTTCGTACAGTGGTGCGAAGGGCTCCATGCTGGATCGACAACGAGGCTGTTGCTGAATGGTTGGCTGGGAGAACCGGTGGCGGTCAGGAAGGGCGTACGGCAGGGCTGCCCGCTGGCACCCTATCTCTTCCTTTGCGCGGTGGAGCCCCTCTGCCAGGAAGCAATAAGGAGGAAACTGGGAATCAGTAATCCGTACGGGGATCGGCTTGTGTACCTGGGGTACGCCGACGACACCACGTTGGTGCTCAAAGGGAAGAGGCAGATTGGCCGGGCGGTGAAGCTGCTGAATGAGTTCGGTGAGAAGTCAGGTCTTCGGGTAAACAACGACAATTCTGCACTCCTGCCCCTGGGAAAGAACCTGCGCAAGAAACCAGACAAGGCGTCAGCTTTCAAATGGGTACGGTCGAACGAAGCGGAAAGAGTCCTGGGGGTGTGGATCTCACCCTTGGGGGATGCATCGGTGACCTGGGAAATCACCCTGTCACGTGCAACGGCGGAGCTGGTGAAATGGCAAATACATTACCTGACGACATCTGGAAGAGTCGCGGTGGTCAACGGGTACATCAACCCAATCCTCGCTTTCCAGGCGCAGGTCTACCCTCCTCCTTCTGAAATCTGGGCGAAGCTGGTGAAGCTGCTTCACAATTTCGTCACGGGTAACCACTCGACGGCAAGGAAGCACTTCGCGCTCTGGAGTCAGGAGCTGCTGTTTAAAGCAAGAGGGGAAGGCGGGCTAGGCGTCCGGGATCCCTGTGCGGAGCTGGGGGGTCTGGCGGCCAGGAGGATCGCGTTGCTGGCGTCGCAACCACTGGGACTGCGTGCTGATCTGGCGCTCGCGGCTTTGGATGTTCCTGACCTACAGGTTTTCTGGGCCCACGCGGGGTTGATAAAGCAGTGGGAAGGAAGATGTGAGAGGTGGAAGCGGACATGCGAGCTATTCCTGGAGTCCAGCTTCCCTTCATGCATCAGCGTATCGTCCGTATGGGAGGTGGAGCAGGAGATGTTGCTATTTAACCGCCGGCTGCTTTTGAACGGGAAGACACCCGCGGGACGGCAGAAGGCGGCTAAGTCGTTGAAGCGCTCGGTGATGGGTGACTTAATCAAGGTTGCTGTGGACGGATCGAGAACTCTGAAAACTCCCCAGGAGCTCGAGCGGGCTTTCGGAGGATCGGAAGGAGCGAAGCTGGCGAAGAGGGTATACGATGCTGCTCCGGATGAATGGAAGCAGTTGCTCATGGCGCCTGTCACAGCGCGCACGGTGCTAACGGCTTCTAAGTTCGTACTAAAGGCGGGGACGAGCTACGGGGTCTGGAGGATTGAGAGTGTGGAAGGCGAAACCCTAGTTTGCCGTGCCATCAAGTGTTTCAGGGGGGCCTTGGAGGAGGCTGAGGAGAGGTTGCGCAATTTTCTGCCGCACGAGGTGGTGCCTGCAGTGGTCAGGGATGGTCGGTTCCTTGGCCCGGCGGGTGCCCCCAGGGCAAGACTGCTGTGCTCCCCCATCTGGGTGGGTGATCGGCCGGCGCAGCTAAGGCAACTAAAGGAAGGTTTTAAGCGGTTTGGCGGAAAACCGAAGCAGCAGACCACATGGGAGGAGTCTCTCGGCCGTACGATCGACTGGGGGAGAGTGATCGGGGTACGGGATTCGTCAGCTCTGCCGAACCGTGCGCAGGATGTGATGCTCCGGATCCACAGCCGGAACCTGCAGGTGGGGGAGCGGTTACATTTCCTTGGCGCCGGAGTCGCCTGCCCGCACTGCGGGGAGAAGGAGACACTGGAGCACGGGTTGTTTCTCTGCCCGCGCATTCAGCCGGTGGTACGGACGCTTTTGAAGGCTCTCCGCATGCTGACTCCGCATCGGAAAATTGAGTCTCTGGGGGATGTGTTTTTCAAGAAGGAGGGTACAGCTTCGGGGTTCCCCGAGGGTACGATCGCAGCAATCGCGTTCCACCGGATTTGGGTCGAGAGGTGTGACGCGGTTTTCGAGCGCAGCAAATTCCGGGCGAGGAGGGCTCTGCGGAGGATCGTGGCGTCTTTCCAACTGCATGTCAGGATCTACAAGCGTGCTAAGGCGGTGTCTAAGAGGCTCGGCGCCATTCGTCCTGGCTTGGATGATGACGAGTGCCGGGTCTTGGGCCACATCATGGACAACTCAGCTCAACCAGCCACGTGGTCCAAGGGGTTCATGGCAATCTGGTCGAACCCGAGGGCTGCCTTCCGCCCCCCTTAGATGGTCAGGATGGGTACGGAGGGAGCAATCCCCCTAAGCCTATCAGCTACAGTTACGACTGCCGATGTATTGTTGCACTTATAGACCAATTTCTTGGAGAGCCAGTTGGTTTCTTCGCCGAATTTCGCCCACCTTTCCGACTGGCTCCACCACCTCCATTCGCCTCGCCTCGCTACCCACGCGCCTCCCTCCCTCTCCCCTTGTCCCACCCAGATCCTCGCGCGGGTCACTGGACTCCTCTGCCCTCTCCTCTCCTCTCGTCTCCCCTGTGATTCTGTCAAGTTGGTCTCCTCTCCGCTCTTACTCTTGCCTGTCCTCGCGCGTCTGTTGGTGATCACCGATCCGATTGATGATCACGATTACCCCACTTTCCCTTCTTTCTATGCCTACTCTCTTGTGGCTGACGCCACAATTATCGACAGCTGATTCATAAATCAGTGTCTTAATAAGTGCCCATCGATAGATACTTGGTTTTGCGATAGTTTTTAACTCTTCCTTTAGATTCAGCATATCATCAGCCTATCGCTTACTGGTTCCACCAGTTGCTCTAACGTTCAGGACGCTCCTAGTGCAACCGTCTTTCTGGGCCGAACCTCTGCTACTTGTGCTTCTGTTCTAAAAATAAGATATAAGAGGAAAGGCGAGGCAAGTGGTCCTGCTCCGATATAAAGCGGGATCTGGTCCTGGTTTCGAGCGGCGCGATGCATATCGTGGAGCGACCATACGCCGCGAGGCTGAATAGCTCCGCCGGTGTGGGAGCGGGTCCGCGTGACGCCGCGATTCACGGCGGATCGCCTCAGAGATTGCACTTCGAATCGAATCCCGAGCTCTGCGATCTCGACGATCCCTCCTACTACATGTCGCTTGACCACCTACCCGACCGGCAGATTCTCGTGCAGACGTCCAGAATAGGGGTACGTCTTTAATCCCATTAAGGGGTATGTCAGAAAGCGCAATAAGGGGTACGTCGACCCCGCGTGCTGTTAGATCACTTACTATAGTCACAAGTCGTTGAAGCGTCACGTTATTACGTCGCTCGACGCTATCGCTTACGACACCCTCTCACGACGGTGCTATCTTGTCGGTCTTGCAGGCAGGAGTGCCCGTAGTCGAGAAGGTACGGTGGTTGGACCAGCAGTTGTCGCACCTGCAGTGTCCGTACCCGATACAGCATATCGAGTTCACCTATTCCGGGGATGCAGGTACAATCCAACCACTGTTGTTAACCGATCGCTAGCTTAAGAGGTTTATTCGGTTTTTCGTTTTTTGAATCCGCTAGCTTGAGTGTCGACTGTTAGCGACGCTAATATTCCTCTTCGTCGTCGGCGCAGTCGTTCAGTTTATCTCGGAGGCCGCCAAACTGAAAGCGCTGACGCGCTGCGGGTCGTTGCGGTGGAGGAGCGTGGAGATCGCCAGCTGGCCGTGCGCGGAGGAGGACGTTCGGGCGCTGTCGTGGGTCGGAATCACTGGCGCGCTTCCGGAGATCTTTCCGCTCGTGTGGCAGGTACGCTGCTGCTTCTTCGCTGTGCTGGCCCTGTGCTGTGGTGGGTTCACCAGCTTTTAGTCACCTTTCAATGATCCGATTTGATTGTGATACGGGTTTACGTAAACGTGCCCTTTTTTTTCCACTTTACCTCCTCCCCCCCTGACCCATCCCCACACCCTCCGTCCCCCCTCTCAACCCTTCCCCTTTATTGTTGGTCACAGGCGCTGCAGCAATACGGCGAAGTGAAGGGGGAGTGTCCTCCTCCGCCTAACAACCACCTTCTGCAACAGCAGAGGAGGTTCCCAATGCTAAAGTATTATTTCGTCCCTAACGGGAAGAAGAGGCTTCCGCCTTCCATCCAGATTGTCAGGCCAGACCGGTAAGTGCCTTAAGATTGTCTGCATGGCTCTCGTTTGTTGTCCTCCCCCCTCTTTTTTGTAACTGACCTTTTTCCCTCCACTTCCTCAGGCCGAAGGCGTACCCACCATGCACAGTCCGGCTTTTCACCCCGTTTGGACCTCTTTCGCCAACCTGTTCTGATTTTGGCAAGGCACACTCTGTGTATGGTTGTCCGACATGCTACTTCAGTAGCACTCAAACCCACTTCGGTGCTTGATTCAATCCTAGGTTATAACAGTCTAATTGGACCAGCTTCTGGCTGGTCTTGAGGAAGGTAGGAGGCAAGGCGTGATAGCGTGTGCATTGATGAGCAGTAGCAATTGGTGCTAGGTTTAGCATTGTAAGGTGTTGATTGGTCATGCTATGTCAGAAGTATTAGGATTGACTATTTTGGTTCGCATTCTCAATCATCTAGTGCTCAAGCCTTCGATTATTGTGTAACACTTGCTACAGTAGTGTGTCCAACAGCTTTGTCATTGATCAACGTCAGTTGTTTTGTATTGCTCATGACCTCAAACCACGTCCTATGAAAGGAAAAAACGGGGAGGTGGCTAAGTTCAACATAGAATCAGCTACAGGTAAGGTACCTACAAACGAAACACCCAAAAATAGTCACTTATAGGTAGAAGTCATCAACCTCTAAAGCCCATTGCAGCACTCATCCTATCTCACCAACTGAGCCGCACTCAATCAATCTTGACCGATGCATAGATCAGGCGCACGAACCAGTAGCAAGCATAGAACCCAATGGTCCCTGTGAGAATGAAGAAGCTGTAGGAGATGATGACCATGTAGCCGAAGTAAAGGATAGCTGACACGAGCTTGGTGATCTCCAGCTTGGTGAAGAAGTAGAAGGTCGCATAGAGGAAGAGGTAAAGAGCCGATGAACCGGAGGTCAGATACGCTCTCCACCACCAGCGATAGTCCTCACTGCACAGCTGGAAGTAGCAGAGCACAATGGTGATCTCTGCGCACGTGATGATGAGGATGACGAAGACGATGAAGAGGAAACCGAAGATGTAGTAGAACTGCTGCAGCCACATGGAGGTGAGGATGAAGAAGAGCTCGATGAACACCGCACCGAAGGGCAGAATGCCTCCAATGAGGATGGAGAACACGGGGTGCATGTACCACGCCTGCTCGGGGATCTGTCGCGGGATCTTGTTCGTGCGGACAGGATCCTCAATAGCTGGCTTCTTGAAGCCGAAGTAGCTTCCCAGAAGGACTAGAGGCACAGAGATGCCGAACCAGAGGAAGAAGAGAGCGAACATGGTGCCGAAGGGAACGGCTCCAGATGACTTCTCCTTCCAGATCAGGATGTTAAGGATGAAGAAGATGACGAAGACAACAACAGGGTAGGTGACTGCAGTGCGAATGGTGTTCAGCTTCCAGTCAGTGCCCTTAAAGGCCTTGTAGAGGCGGGCGGACGAGTATCCAGCCAAGAGACCCATGAAGACCCAGAGCAGAAGCATGGCAGTCATAAGCCCACCGCGGTTGGATGGGGAGAGGAATCCGAGAAGCGCGAACACCATCGTGACAAGGGTCATGAAGAACAGCTGCACACCGGTGCCGACATACACGCAGAGCAGGCCGGCATAGTTGGGCGGGCGGAACACATCACCATGGACCAGCTTCCACCCAGTCTCCTCCTGTGCCTCCTCCTGAGTCTCCAACTGATTGTACTGGGAGATGTCGCGGTGCAGAGTGCGCATCATGATCATGGCAACCATGCCCGAGAGGAAGAGCACGATCATGAGAGAGTTGATGATGGAGAACCAGTGGATCTGGTCGTCCGTCATGAGAAGGTACGTGTCCCAGCGAGACGCCCACTTCACGTTGCTCGGCTGCAGTGGGAAGGAAGAGGGAGGTAAAGCACAAAAGAGATGAACATGAATCTTACACAGGCAAGAAGCCCAGACAATTTCAACCAAATGCATTTCTTGTACCCAATACCGCAAGGAGTCAGAATGCGGGGACTAAACGAAGCGTGCAGGCTCCAAACTGAAGGATCTGAACTATTGTTGGCTCATTACTTTCCTGCTGCCTTGTTGCCCGAAATCCCATATCTACGACCGCGTCACCTTACAGTCTTCTACGAATCCGTTCATAATACACCAGCCTATATGTGTTCGCCTATCACACACCATAGCTCCAGACTAGTACTGACGTCCCACTGGCGTGTTGCTTCTACGTATTCTAACGGCACAATCACACTCACGTCCCCATCGTTCGATCTTATGGTTAACTTCTGCGCCAAAATCTAGTAGGTTTATCCATTTTCTGAACATCGGCACTCGCGCACATAAAATCACATACCTTGAACATCACATCGTAGGTGAAGATGACCTCCTCGTTCTCCTTGATCGGCTGCGGTGGCATGCCGCTATCCACATGCTGCGTCGGGTTCCCTGGGTTGCAGGTCGTGAGGATAGGCTTCGCCGGGTTGTAGGTACCCTCGTACTGGTGCTTCACACTGCACGCAATGACCATGTTTAGGTTAGCGCATGTAGCTTGCTCGCTGATTCACAAAAACCAAAGCTGTTGCCACCTACCTAAATGGTTCGACTTCGAAACCGACGACGCGAGCCAGATTGTTCGTGGGGTCTTTGTGGAACAGCACAGTGAACCGCAGGTGGTTGTGCAAGAAATACTCATCCGGCCCATTCTGCAAGCACATTAAGAACGGACTAGTCGTTTAGGTCATGATCTGCTAAAGATCCATAATTTCTAACAAAACTGAGGCGGCTATGTGACATACCGTTTCGGAAGGAGCCTTAAAGCCCACAGGAAATCCACGCTCATACGTCTTGATGGACTCACCACCTTCCTCCGCGCGCATCCTGACCATGGCCGCTGGCAGGTTATCAAGGATCCTGCGATGACCAAACCGAGACATTAGAGCCGCTTTGTGGAAAGATACAAAAGACAAGTTAATAAAACGATTCGTACATGAAGACGCGATATTCATCATCGATCTTTTCCTGGAATTGAAGAGCCTCCTCTAGGGGAACCTTCGCCTTTCTGCAGACGATCTTGCACTGCTCGTCGATCCTCATTTGAAACTGCGACCCAGAGAAGGTAAGATTCGCACCGTAAGAAGGCGACAACTCAGCATAATGTTGCTAAACTTAAAAAACGAATTCGTAATACAGACCTGATAGGGAGAGTTCTCAATTCTGTCACCACGAAGAATCTCGCCCAGATTTTCCGCCACTGGCTTAATCCCCTCTTCCGGAAGGCAGAAGGGGAGTGAATAGTACTCATATGGAAGTTGAGTTCTGGTCGAAACTAACTTGTTGACTTTAACAAAAAGTGGATCCTCCTGCTCAGACATTGCGCGGAAGTTAGTGCTAATCCATAAATGCTAAAAAAACTCTCTTAGTCTACGGCGAAGATATTAACCTTCTTGAAGTCTTGAGGAGCCACGCCAGGGAGGTAAAAAGCAGAAGCGGCATTCACAAGCGCCAGCAGGCACACGAAGGCCACAAGACGAGCCATGGCCGCGGTAGCGAATCAGGACAGCCACCTATCTTAGAAAGACTTGAATTTAGATTCAACCAAGCTGAGATCTGTTCCACACCCTAAACACTTGGATGCAGGAAATCTGTTGCGTTGAGTTCAGCAAGGAAGCAAATCGGCATAGTCAAGGGCAGATGTGAGGGAGCGAGAGCGCTGGCCGAGGATCCGTGATTGGCGGAGGGTGGTGTTGCGGTGGGATGCGAAATGGCGGAAAGTTGGCGGGGAAGGGGGGTGTGAGAACGGGAGTTGGGACGGGGGTTGCGGGAAAGTTCGGGGGAAGGGTGCAAGGGTGGTGCGGTGAACCAATGGTGGAGAGTGGCGGATGGAGGAATGCCCGCCAAGGAAGCCTCCAAGAGTGGCTGCCAGCAAGTGGGAGGTGGCAGGTGAGACTGACACAACCGCCATAGGAACAATCTGGTCACAACATCGAGAACACATTTGTGCAAAATCAATAATACCTTGCATGTTGACATACATCAGTAACATAATTTGCCTAGAATCTCATTCCAAGGCTTCATATCCACCTTTGATATTCGCTACAGAATTTTCATGTACCGCTTTGACAAGCTATAATATATGTAGTGTCATGCATTATAGCAATGCTAGTAAGGTTGATGTAAGGTTGACGCATGAAGAAGGCCCATCAAAGTAACCTACACCATGCTTTTTTGTTCTCACTTGAGAGAAATGACTTGCTGCTCAATGCCCATTTGCCATGCTCAGTGACCTTTTATATGGCAGGACTTACTTCAAAAGCACGAATAGGCCAGCTTTGTTATTCTCCTTAACCTCATACAACTTGCACACTGTGCAGTGCTGGCATTATCTTCTTTGAAATGTGGGCATTTTTTTCTTCCTGTTTTTTTTTGGCTTCTCTGATCCTACTCTGCTTTTCTGCGCCTTGTTAGATTCCCCTTACCACCCTTTTGATGCCTTGTCAACCCTGTATTCCTTCCACCACCAGCCGTTGCCTTTCCCTTACGCAACCCACCAGCCACACCACCACCGGCAGCAGCAGCACCACCAGCCGCACTCATATTCCGACCAGCGCCAGTAGCAAGGGCAGCAGCCATACCACCGCCAACGTCCTGTGATTCCTCTGTGAAGCTGGAGAGGCCAATGCTCTCACCCAGACGCACATGCGCCGTGGCCACCCAGCCACCACTCTCATCATCATCATCTTTCTCACTATCTGTGTCAGCATCACAATCAGCATGCGCATCAAAATCAGCACCAGCTTCATCACCGTCAACAGTGCCATTGCTGCGACCCGCATTGACTGTGTGAAGCGAGTTCTCGAAAGATAAGCGCTTTTCTCTTTTCCCAATTTCCCTTTCTTCGTCAGCAACAGCTTCCTCTTCTTCTTCCTTCTCCTCCTTCCCCTCCTCCTGCCCCTCCTCCACCCCCTCGTCTTCTTCCTCCTCCTCCCCCTCTTCTTTCCCCTCCTCCCCTTCCTCCTTCTCCTCCACATCCTCCTGCTGCTTCACTGGTACCCTCAATCCCCTCTGCCTGCTGTGAACGTCGGCCAATGAGGCGACGACAGCTGGCTCGGTGTCAAATAGCACGTGGGGCAGTGGGGAGACGCGCATGGAGGAGGGGCGGGCGAGGAGGGCGATGAACCAGTCGGGGGAGACGACCGCGGGGGAGTTGTGGCGCGAGGGGGCCAGCAGGCGGCGGGCCACAGGGTCTCTTTCAGATGTCTCTGTGATGGGGCGAGGGGTGGGACGAGGCAGGGGTGGGGATGAGAAGAACACAGTTACAGAGAAAGCAGATGCTGGGAGGTTCTGAAGGTAGGCACGGTGATGCTCGTGAGAAGAGAAGAGGGCAGCGGGGAGGCATGCATGCAGGAGGGGGCGGGCGAGGAGGGTGATGAACCAGTCGGGGGAGAGCAGTGCGGGGGGGGGGGGGGGGGGAGAGGGCGTAGCGCGACGGGGGCGAGCAGGCGCCGGGCGAGAGCCGCCGCTACACAGGGCTGTGCGGAGCAAGTCATGCCATTGCACAAACGTAAGCACACAGCCCACCAGTGCACACGCGCACACGCGCACATGCACACAGCCCCACCTGGTTTGAGCACAACAAAGTCGAAGTGCGGGGCGAGAGCCGCCGCCACACAGGGCTCTGAAGCCCAAGTCACACCAGCGCACATGCACCTAGGCACATAAGCACACCGGTGCGAGAGCCACATAAGCACATAAGCACACCGGTGCGAGAGCCGCCGCCACACAGGGCTGTGAGGCTTGAGTCACAGCCGCTACACATGCATGCACCTAAGCACCTAAGCACATATGCACACCAGTGCGCATGCACAGGAACACACAAGCATACAAGCACACAAGCACCCAACCCACCTGGCTTGGGCACAATGAAGTCAAACTGCGGCGCGAGAGCCGCCGCCACACAGGGCTCTGAGGCTCGAGTCACGTCCGCCCCCCCTGCTGTGAGAATGCGGTGCAGCACGTCCTGTATGTGTTTGGTTGTGTGGGGAGGGGGGAGAGGGAGAGGACAGAGGATATCAGCCGCATTCGAATTACAGTTGCCCCCCTGCTGTGAGAATGCGGTGCAGCACGTCCTGTATGTGCGCACGGGGTCAAGGGTTCAATCAAGGTTCTGAATTCAGGGCTTAACGGCTTCAGAAGCTGTGATGCGCATACCCGCCGCAGCGGGTGTGGCCGTTCAATTCGCTGCTGCCCACACCACACCCGCTGTGAGGATGCGTTGCAGCATGTTCTGCAGGTGATTCAGCTCATGGGTGGATGCCAAGGGTCAAGGGCTTAGAATGAAGGCTCTCAGGATTTCAAAGCTCCAGGGACTTATAACGGGCTTAGAATGTAGGATCTCGAGTCTCGGCTGGCCCCCTTGGTGTGAGCATGCGGAGAACCATGACCTGCAGGTGGTTGTTTCAGTTGGGGGGAATAGGAGGGAGGAGAGAATCGAGAGTCTTGAGGTGAGTAGAACAGTTCTGGCACTCAAGCCACGGCCGGGCCCCCCTGCTGTGAGAATGCGGTGCAACACGTCCTGCAGGAGTTTGTGTGAACAAGGAGATAGGGGCGAGGAGGGGATAGAGAGACTCGAGAAGCAGAGAGGTTAAGAGCGGTAGAGAGCAGCGAAAAGCAGCAGCAGCATCAGCAACACCCAGAAACCCTATACTGCCTCACTCTCTATACTCCAGACACCTCCTGGCGGAAACAGCAGAACAGCAGTGGAACAGAGCAGAGCAGACTACAGGCCAGAGCACAGCGAGGCGAGGGACTAGCTGCCATGTGTGGCACTGACAGCGACATGTCATGCCACGCTCTACCCTGCCCAGGCCACCTGGTAACGCCAATTCCAGGTGCATACTATTGCACGAGCCATAGACAAAGGGCTATTAGATGGAAAACACAAGCAGCACTCGCATTGCATCCCACGGAACCCCCCTCGTCACCGCACTCCTCCTGCCCTGCAGGCCGCCACCTGTTTAGCAGCCTTTCTCTTCGTACCGTACCATAGATTCCGGGGCTGACAGATGGAGGCACCAGCAGCACCTGTGCCCGATGAAAACCCCTCTTTTTCCATTCCGCTCGCAATGCCGGCGCCACCTGCTGGGAGCTGCTCGCTCCACCGTGCCGTCCCTGTTGCTGCCCATCCACCCCCCCTCGCAAGACTCAAACGACCACTCTAGCAGCATCTCCCTTCATACACACATTTGCCAGACGCTGCGAGTTCCACCGTGCCGTCCCTGGTGCTGCCCTCGCTCCGCCACTCTCAAACGACCACTCTAGCAGCATCTCCCTTCACACACACACGTGCCACGTACCATAGAGGAAGGGCCATCTTGGGGAGGCGCCAGCAGCACCCGTGCCCCGTGAAACGCCCCTCTCCCCCCATTCCTGCTGCACTGCTGTCGCCACTTGCCAGGCGCTGCCAGCTCCACCGTCCCGTCCCTGTTGCTGCCCCCGCCCCGCCACTCACAAATGCCCACTCTAGGACGCCCCCTTCCCCTACCCCCCCCTGTACCGCAGCCACTTCCGAACCAGAAGCCTTTCCCTTTGATGCACGTACCATGGAAGTAGGGCTGTCAGAAGGAGGCACCAGCAGCACTCGCACCCCATGAAACGCCCCTCTCCCCCCATTCCTGCTGCACTGCTGTCGCCATTTGCCAGGCGCTGCGAGCTCCACCGTCCCGTCCCTGTTGCTGCCCTCGCTCCGCCACTCAAACGCGCCCTCGGGGAGGAAGTGGCCCGCTGTGGCACTCGCTGTGAGGTAATCTGGTGTGAGCACCCACCTGGAGTGGACGGAGGAAACATGGGGAGACAGTGATTAGAGGACGAAGGTCAGTTGGTGTTTACTTGTTGATGCTGCCCTTCCCCCTCACCGGCCACCTCGGGGAGGAAATGGGCCGCTGTGGCGCTTACTGTGAAGTAGTCTGGTGTGAGCGCCCACCAGGGGTGTGGGGGGAGAATGAGTGTGGCAGGAGGGAGGGTCATCTAGTGAGCGCCCACCTGTCCCAGTGAGGGAAACGACACACTGCTGTGCTGACTGTGAGGTAGTCTGGTGTGAGCACCCACCTGGGGTGACGGTGATGAGGCGGTGAATGGAAAGATGGTGATTAGAAGGAAAATGGGGAGATGATGATGAGAGGGAGGATCAGTTAGTGCCGGCCCGGTTGCAGCCCTCGCCCTGCCACTCATACGGGCCCTTTGGGAGGAAATGGGCTGCTGTGGCGCTCGCTGTGAGGCAGTCGGGTTTGAGCACCCACCTGGGGAGTGTGGTTCGCAAGGGGTTGGAAAGCGAGGAATATGTATGATGCATATGAACGTGGGGAGAGAGGGGGTACTCAGGCGGCACACGAAAGCAGAGGACATGGCTCGCTGCAGTGGTATAACCTGCGTAAACCACTGCCTTGGTTGAGCAGGGGTGAGCATTGGTGCAATGGCTTTTGCAGGGATGGATGAACCCACCCACCGGCCAGCGGCAGCAATGAGCTTCTCAGTGCGCTTGAGGGGCGGGGGCAGGATGACATGCGTGGCCTTGGGGTGCCACTGCAGCTCCGCTCCCTCCCCCCTCTCGCCCTTCCGCCCCCCCTTCCCGCCCTTGCCACCCTTACCACCAGCACCACCACCAGCGGCAGCATCAGCAGCAGCGCTCCCTGCCTCGCCACACACGCGGCCGCCCAGCTTAGTGACAATGGCCCTCAGTTGCCCTTCACTGCGTGATGACCCCCCCAGCAGGAACCACCGCTCGCCGCCCCCCCACATGCTCATCTCCGCACCTCCCTTGTCTCCACTGCCCTCTGCTTCGCCCTGCTCGTCCCCCCCCTTGGTTGCTGCCACAGCGTCTCGTTTCTGCCCGTCTGCCTGGCTGCAGCTCTTGCTGCTGGCACGACCACCAATGCTGCCACCAGCACCAGCACCACCACCAGCAGCACCACCACCGCTGCCACTGGGGCTGGAGCTGCTTATTGGCTGGAAAAACCGCGTGATGGGCGTCAGGGAAGCAGTGTGGGCTTTGGTAGCAGTGGGCTTGGCAGTGGGAGCTGGTTTGGCAGTAGCAGTAGGCTTGGCAGTATCATTAGGTTTGGCAGTAGCAGCAGGTATGGCATTATCAGTAGGTTTGGCAGTGGCAGTGGGTTTGGCAGTAGCGGCAGCTTTGGATCTTAGTGCAGGTTTAGCAGTAGAAGCACCCCCCCTCCTGCGTGCATCTTTCTCCTCTGCACTCTCCTCTTCGTCTCCATCTGTGCTCCCACTCACTCTCTTCCTCCCTCTGCCCTTCACACCCCTACCACTGCCCTCCGCTGCATGCTTGCGCCCCCTCTTCCTACCAGTCCCAGCAGCCTCAGTCGGTGGACACACATAAGTCCCCTTAACAGCAGGAGCAGCAGGTGCGTTTTTGCGTGAATTCATATCCGCCTCCTTGTCCTCCACATCCCCATGCACCATCACAGCCTCATCATCACTCTCCTCTGCACCAACCACCACAACATCATTCTCACTCTCTCCCTCAACACCTACCACCTCACCAATTTCTTCCCCCACACCTTCCTCATCGTCAGCACCTCCACGCCTCCTCGCTTTACACCCGATTCCTGTGCCTCTTTGTCCCCTCCTCTCCCCTCCTCCTGCACCCTTGCCACTCTCAACACACTTCTTCTTCCCACCCCGCGACTCTCCAGCCGCCCCAGACTCATTTTTCCTCCGCTTTGCAGCAGCAGCAGCAGAAGCAGCAATAGCAGCAGCAGCAACATCTGCCTTGCCTCTACTGGCCCTGCCTTTCCCCTTCACCTCTTCTCGCTCGCCCTCCCTCCCCTCTGCATCTCCATTCGCCTCTTGCTGCTGCCTTACCAGTTTGAGGCGCTTCAAAACCCTCCGCTGCTGCTGCTGCTGCTGCTGCTCTCTCTCACATTCTTCCTCCCATCCGCCCTCGCTCCCTTCACCGTCTATGTCCCCTTGTTGCTGCTTCTGCTGCTCTCTCCCACCCCCCTGCTCCTCCTCTTCCTCCTCCTCCTCCTGCTGCCGCAGCTCTCTCCCAGCTGCTCCCCCCACCTCGTCCACTGCACACGCCATCCTTCGTGCCGCTCTCTCCTCTTCCCGCTGCTTCCCATCTCTCAAGGGATCTTCACGGCGTTTCGTTCTCAGCTCCCTTGCCCTCTCCCTTTCCTCGCCAATCCTATGCACCTTCTCTTCCCCACCTTCAACACCGCCCTCCACCTCCCCCCATCCCTCTCCACCGCATCTAGCCCCTTCATCCATGCCACCCACCTGAACCTCCCCTTTTTCCTCCTCACTCCCCTTCACCCCCTCCTCATCCCTCCGCCTCTTCATCTCTTGTCGCTCACTCCCCTTCCGCTTCTTCCTGCCCCCATCCCTCTCCTCACGCCCCCTCTTCCCTAGACTCTCCTCTGGCCCCTCCTTCTCTCCGCCCTCTACAGTCATTGACAGCGGCCCATCCTTCTTCCTCTCAGCACCTCTGCCCCGTCCCCTGCCTCCCCCTCTCCTCCCTTCTCGCCCCCCCTTCTTCCCCTTGTCACTGCTCCCCACCGTCACCAACCGCTCCCCACATACCTCCTTCTCAAGATTCGTCGTTGCAACATTCTCCTTCTCAAGGTTCTCCTTGCCCAGGGCCGGCTTTCTCCTGTGGAACGTTTTGACCAATGGGGAGGGTGCCACGTGGCCAATGACCACATCGCCCTGCAGCCAATCAGGAAGAGAGGAGACGACCGGCCCATCCTCATCCTCATCCCCCTTACAAGCAGCCTCGTTTTCTTTCCCTCCGCCAGCATTAACCCCATCCTCGCTACCACTACCATCCGTTTCATCATCATCATGGCACACAGGCTTGTCAACATCCTTATTGCACATAGCAACTTTTCCACCTTCATTGTCTCCCCCGTCACTGTTCCTCCCCTCACAGTCCCCCTCCTCACTCTTACCCCCCTCATCTCCACCACATGCCTCCCTAACACCAGCTAATCCATTGTCGTTTCCCCCTCCCATTGAACCATCACCAGTCCCTCCTCCCATTACAACACCACCCTCAACCCCCCTCCCTCCTAGGCCATCCTCAATCCCCCCTCCCGTTGCACCACCCATGCTGCTACTCCCTCCCATCGCCCCATCATCAACCCCCCCTCCCTTCACACCACCGCCCTCATCCCCCCTTCGCACCTCCTCCCTCGCATCCTTGCCATCACCACAGCCGCCACCCTCCTTGTGCATCGACCTAGCCTGAGGACCACCCACCCTCTCCCCACTGCCACCTGCACCCCTCTCCACCGGACTGGAACGTTGAGATTACGATCCGCCTTCTCCTCACTGCTACCTGCACCCCTCTTTACTGGACTGCAACGTTGAGAAGCACAACCCACACCGTCCCCACTGCCGCCTCTCTGCTCCTCCCTGAGACGCCTCACTGGGAGCTTCCCACCCTGCCTGCTGGGCCCTGCACGTTTGCCACTGCTCACCAGCACCCCCACACTCTCCTCACCTCTGCCGCTACAGCCTCTCCCCTCTGCACGTTTTCCAGCAGCAGCAGCAGAAGCAGCATGGCTGGAGCTGCAGCTCAGTCCACCCATATCCACCGTCATGCCTATGCCCGCGTGCATGTCACTCAGGCGCAGTGGCTGTGATTGCGGCTCGGTTGGCGAAGGTACTGCTGCTGATTCAGCAGCTCGCTCCTCGTGTTCCTCTTGCTGCTGCTGCTGCTGCTGGCAAACTTTCACTTGCGATATTTTCTCGGTCGTTGGAGCCGGAACATTCCCAGTGCCAGCTGCCACGGTAGCCACATCACCGGCTGCATCTGCCACATCAGCAGCCACACTTCCTTGCCCGCTTGCCTGAAGTGGACTCACCACTCCAGCTGTAGCACGCTCAGCTGTAGCACGCTCAGCTGTAGCACGCTCAGCTTTAGCACGCTCACCTGCCACACCACCTGCCACACCACCTGCCACACCACCTGCCACACCACCTGCTGAACCGCCTGTCCCGTCGCTGACAGAGTCAAAGATGCCTCTCAGGTTCACAACAACGCCCTGTGGATCAGGGGACTGCTCCCCCCCTTCACCCCCCTCACCATCCGCCTCTTCACCCCCATCACCCTCCCCGCCCTTACTCCCCTCGCCCTCCCCACCATGCCTCACTCGCACTTCCCTGCCCTCCCCAGTTTCCACCTCAACTATTCGCTGCCACATGTCCCCCTGTCCCATCTCCTCTTCCTCATCCCCTTTCTCACACCACTCTTCCCCTCGCTCCTCTCCCCACTCCTCCTCCTCTCTCTCCTCCTCCGTTTCCGCATCCTCCATGTCCTCTTGCCCACAAATCACTTCCTCCCCTCCCTCCTCCCCTTGCGCTTCCCCCATCTCCTCTCCTTCCTCATCTCCTCTCTCCTCCCCTTCCTCTTCTTCCTCCCCCTCTTCCTTCATGTCCTCATTACCCTCATCCTCCCCTTCCACACGCTCCACCACCCTCCATTCCTCTCCTCTACCCTCCTCTCCCACTCCCTCCTCTCGCCTCATACAACCACCACCATGTTCTCTCACCACTTGTTCAACTGCCTTCCTAGTCCCCAACCCACCTCCCTCTCGTCCCCCCTCCGCCTCTCCCACTTCCTCCTCTCGCCTCATACAACCACCGCCAGGTTCTCTCACCATCCTGTCTACTGCCTTCCCAAACCCCTCCCTACCCCCTGCAATTCCCCGGCGAGCCTCACAGCCTACATCCACTGCCCCAGCACTCTGCATTCCCACACCTCTCAACACACCCCCCTCCGCCTCTCTAACCCCCACCCTTACCCCACCACTCTCCCCTGCGTTTGCACCACCTGTCCTTTCCGCTTCCGTCCCTCCCCAACAACCCACCACCCCACCTGCCCCATCGCGCCTCCCCACACAACCCACTGCCCCACGTGTCCCAGTGCCCCTTCCGTCTCCCACAACAGCAGCAACAGCAGCACCAGAAGCAGCTACTGCAATTGCAGCACAAACGACAGACGTCGCATGAGTGACAGGAGTGGCATGCGTCGCACGAGTGGCATTAGTGGCACGAGTGGCATTAGTGGCACGAGTGGCATTAGTGGCACGAGTGGCATTAGTGGCACGAGTGGCATTAGTGGCACGAGTGGCATTAGTGGCACGAGTGGCGTGATTGGCTGTCCTTCCCACCAAAGCCTCGGCTACAGTCTTCTCTAACGAGCCTCCGTTGGCATGTGCAGCAGCGATTTTATCTGTCGCAATAGCTCGATTTCTCTCGGTGCCATGTGCGCTGCCAACTGCAGCACCGATTTCATCTGTCGTAACTCGATTTCCCTCGGTACCATGTGCGTTGGCAGCATGATCCCTTGAACCACGGGCACTAACGTCACCACCTGCTGTGCAGTGCTCTGAACGCCCACCCACTGCACCACCACCTGTAGCATGGCCTGCAGCAGCAGCACCGGCTGTAGCAGTACCGGCTGTAGCAGCAGCACCACCCACATCACATGTAGCAGCAGCAGCACCAACAGCATCTGGTTGAGTTGCGGGCGTGCTGGCAGAGGCCTGCGAGGCAGCAGCTCTCAGCTGCGCCTCCACCGCCGCTGCTGCCGCTGCTGTTGCCTCCTGCAGCCGCTGCAGCTCCGCCTCCTCTCCACTGGTATGTGCGCACGAGCCGCATATATGGGATGGATGGGGTAGGGGATGCATGGAAATGAATCAGTAAAGAATGGGAAGCATGGGATGGAAATGGTGGAAACGACAATGAGGAATGGTGGGATTGTTGCCTCTGAAACACTATCGAGAATTCTAAAAAAGGATGGGAACAGTGGAAAAGAATGGGCAAAGGAATGCCAGGAGTGGTATTGCCTCCTGCACTGCTGCAGGCCCAGGAAGCGATGGGGGGAAAAGGTGAGCAGGAGAGAGAGATGGGGAGAACGATGAACTGGAGTCTGGCAGGGGTGGCAGGGGTGCTGTGGAAACACAGACTCTGGGAGTGCAGAGGACAAGGCGGCGGCTTTTGAGATGGGTCAAAGGCGAGAGGAGGCTGGAGAGGGAGAGGTCTCGTGTTTGATCTCTGACCTCCTCTGCCTTTTGAGTCGACTTAAAACTCGACTCATTACACGAAAGGGAGAGGTCTCATGTTTGATCTCTGACCTGACCTCCTCTGCCTTTTGAGATTGGAGGTCTCGTGTTTGAAATTGGTCAAAGACGAGAGGAGTGCAGAGGGAGAGCGATGGCAGCTGGTGCGTGCATCGCATCGCATCGCACCGCATCACACCTGGCAGTGTATCGTTCCTCCGGCACTCCCTCAAGCTGTGATGTGACTTTTGAGTCGACCCAAAGTCACAAGTGTTGCTGCCACTTGAAGTCACGGCTCCTATTTGAAGACCACTCACGTGCATCGCATCTCACCTGGCGGAGTATCGCTCCTCTGGCACCAGCCTCCACTCCCTCAGGCTGTGATGGAGACGGCAAGAGAACAGGGATGCAGAGGGATGCAGAGGGATGCACATGGGACGGACGGGGATACACAGGGAAAAATAGGGATAATTAGAAAAATAGGGATAATAAGATGTACAAGGGGCACATGCAGCGCAAGGCAGGAGATGGACCGAAAGAGAAGGTTGGCGTGTCATAGACCACACGTGCAGTGCGGACAGCAAAGAAACTGCAAAGCGAGAAGGCACAAGCAGCCTTACGACCCAGGCGCACTGCAAACAGGATATGCATGCAGGGCGGAGGCTCGAAAGGCGGGTGCCCAAGTGCACGAAGAGCCTTGGCATGCTCTTGAGTTGCCTCAACCGCCCCCCTCGCCCCAAACACCTCAGATTCACATCAAGGCTCACCAGTCCTCCAGCCACATGTGGTTCTCGATCCTGAGGTGGTGCCGGCACCCCTTGAGTTGCCTCAAAGGGCCCCCACCTTTTGTCCCATACACCTCCTTCTCACCAGTCCACCTTTTGTCCCATACACCTCCTTCTCACCAGTCCACCTTTTGTCCCATACACCTCCTTCTCACCAGTCCACCTTTTGTCCCATACACCTCCTTCTCACCAGTCCACCTTTTGTCCCATACACCTCCTTCTCACCAGTCCACCTTTTGTCCCATACACCTCCTTCTCACCAGTCCACCTTTTGTCCCATACACCTCCTTCTCACCAGTCCACCTTTTGTCCCATACACCTCCTTCTCACCAGTCCACCTTTTGTCCCATACACCTCCTTCTCACCAGTCCTCCAGCCACATGTGGTTCACGATCCTGAGGTGGTGCCGGCGTGCCACGTCATACTTCATGCCTGGCAGCAGAGGGACAGATGTGTGGGAACATGTATGGTGGCACATGCGCGGTGGAACATGCGCGGTGGAACATGCGTGGTGGGGCATGCGTGGTGGGACATGCACAGTGGAACATGCAGGGGCGGGGGGCAGATGCGGGAGGAAGGGCCAGATGCGAGGGGAGGGCAGATGGGGGAGGGTGGGGCAGATGCATGGTGGATTTTGTGGAGAAGCGAAGGTGGACGGTGCAGCATGGGTTGGAAAGAGTCATGTGGCAGGGAGGATGCAGAGAAGCAGATGAACAGATTAGAAAATGTCCAGAGTTTTGATGCGCCTCAAATCTTGCAGCCGTCCTTCACGCACACAAGCCCGCACTCGTACAAGCGCTCACACACGCACGCACGCACGCACGCTCGCACGCAGGCGCGCACACACACAAACCTGTGAGCTCGTAGCACACGAGGTGCGTGCATACAGCAGTGTTTAGCTTCCCCGAGAATCCTGCACCCATCAGCTTTGCCATGGTCTGAACGAGGGGTGGAGGATGGAAGGAGTAAAAGCATGAGTGCAGTGCAGTGCAGTGCGGTGCACACGTGAGATGATGCTGTTACTAGAAATGATGCTCACATGGAAGAAGATGCTCCCATACGTGCTTCATACTCATAATGTAAAACTCGCTAAGGAGTGCCTCGTTATAAGGAGTGTCCACCTCGCACCTCATGCTGCCACTATAGCCTGTGAGGCCCAGCACAAGCCGCTTGGCGCCTGGAATGCCACGTGCTCTTTTTTCTCCCTACAAAGCACCTGAATACCTCGTTATAAGCAGTTTCAGTTCTCACCTCTACATCTCGCCGCAAGCTGCCACTGTAGCCTGTGACGCTCAGCAGCAGCCGCTGAGCACCGGAAACGGCGCATTTGAAGCGCATGGGGCGATGCAGCACCTGGGGTGGCAGGCAGGCAGGTGGGGCATATGGAGAGTAGCGGGGGAGAGAGACAAATCAAGGTGCGACAGGTGGGACAGGTGGAGTGAAGACACATGACCCCTCTGTGCCAGAATAACTTCTGGAGAGTCTTCAAAAGCAAATGTGTCAAACATTGAGATGTGACGCTATTGAAAAAAGGAGAGCATGTTGCTTGTGTGGAGCAGAGGAGAGGGGCAGGAACAACAGCTAGCTAGCAAGGATACGGGCAGAAGCCGGAAGTCTGCAGCATACCGAGGAGAGGGGCAGGATGCGGGAGTGGCGGAGGCAGTGGGTGAGCCACCTGGCAGTGACCACCACCTTGCCGTCGCTCTCCGCCCTCATGCACAGCTCGTCCTCCTGGCATGGTGGATGGGCAAGAAGGGAGGAGGGGTGGATGGGTGGTGAGGGGGATGGGCAGTGGGGGAGGCCTGGACAGCAGCGCCAGTGGGCAGTGTCATCACCACCATTATCACCTTGGTGTCACTCTCTGCCCTCGCACGCTCTCTGCCCTCCCACGCTCTCTGCCCTCCCACGCTCTCTGCCCTCCCACGCTCTCTGCCCTCCCACGCTCTCTGCCCTCCCACGCTCTCTGCCCTCGCACGCTCTCTGCCCTCGCACGCTCTCTGCCCTCCCACGCTCTCTGCCCTCCCAAGCTCTCTGCCCTCCCACGCTCTCTGCCCTCCCACGCTCTCTGCCCTCCCACGCTCTCTGCCCTCCCACGCTCTCTGCCCTCCCACGCTCTCTGCCCTCCCACGCTCTCTGCCCTCCCACGCTCTCTGCCCTCCCACGCTCTCTGCCCTCCCACGCGCTCTTCTGCCCTCCCACGCTCTCTGCCCTCCCACGCTCTCTGCCCTCCCACGCTCTCTGCCCTCCCACGCGCTCTTCTGCCCTCCCACGCTCTCTGCCCTCGCACGCTCGCTGTTCTCGCACATGGAGTGTTCTGCTGGGGAGAAAAGACATGTGAGGGCTGCACGGCATGGGTGCAGGTGGCAAAGGAAGGGGAGACACCTGTAACATGTGACCACATTCCCATCATGGTTTGTTACCACATTCCCAGAGGGTGTGTTACCACATTCCCAGAGAGTGTGTTACCACATTTCCAGAGGGTGTGTTACCACAGTCCCAGAGGGTGTGTTACCCCATCATGGTACCACAGTCCACGGTTGGGGCCGCATTACCATGGTGGTGAGGTCAGCGACACTCACGAGGAAGTGCGTTACGACATTCTGGTTACCACAGTCACAGTCACAAGGGGGGTTACCATGGTCAGCCCAGTCGCACGGGGTGTTACTACCATGGTGAGGTCAGCAACAATTACGAGGGCGAGTGTTACCACGTTCTAGTTACCACAGTCCAGTCGCAAGGGGTGTTACCATGGTGAGGTCATCGACAATCACGAGGGAGCAGGAGGGGTCATAAGCGGGCAGCACCGTTCCCCCTGCACGCCTCACATTGTCCTCAACCTGTGCGGACGGGGGAGTAAGAGGGCAGATGTGGGTAAGAATGTAACCATATGAGCATAAGGGAGGTGGAGGGGACATAAGCGGGCAGCACCGTTCCCCCTGCGCGCCTCACATTGTCCTCAACCTGTGTGGTCGGGCAGGGGAGTCAGAGGGCACGTGGGAGTAACCATGTAACCATGGTGCGAGCGAATAAGGGGTACGTGAGAAGAATGAAATGGTGACTGGCAGGGGAGTCAGGCCAGCAGGGGAAGCTGGAATTGGGAGTTGACCTGACGGAAGTTGACCTGAGGGGAGTTGACCTGAAAGGGAGTTGACCTGAGGGGAGTTGACCTGACGGAAGTTGACCTGAGGGGAGTTGACCTGAAGGGGAGTTGACCTGAGGGGAGTTGACCTGACGGAAGTTGACCTGAGGAGAGTTGACTGAGGGGAGTTGACCTGACAACGTGACACAAGACGAGTTGACCTGACAACGTGACACATGACTCAAACACAATAAACACCACGCCTAGAGCGACAAACCTGACAGCCCCATTCGACCTTATTGACGACGCTGTTAGACGAGCCGCCCACCACGACGCGCATTCCCGTGAGGAAGAGTCCAGACTCGCCCGCCCGGACTACTATTGCCTCTGCCTGCGCCACCTCAGCCCGCTGCTGCTTCCGCGTGCCTTCCACCTGCGTTCCTTGCGCCTCGACCATCGCTGCTGCACTCTCCTCCAAGCAGAGTCTGCTTCGCTTTCTCCTGCTTCGCTCGCTCCCCCCCTTGCAATCTCGTGGCTCGACAAGTTACAGCAGGCGGAGAGGCTAAGCAGCAGATGGAGGGGTCGGAGAGCACAACTGGTCGATGCGGAGGAGTCAATGCAAACGGGCGAGTTAAAGCAGAGGCCGTGCCGCAGGTTGCGAGACGTCGAACCGGATGAGGCACGGGCCGCCTCTCGTGGCGAAAACTGTTTCGCAGAGCGATTTCGGAACAAATGGTTCGACGCCGCGGATGTAACGAGGGGGCCTCCTGGGAGCTACGTGAAGATGCTACGGTCTAGTGCGATAATGTTCGGAGGATGTCGTAGACCATCAGGAAAATGTGCAACTGCCGAAAACTGACTCCGGACGAAGTGCGGACGCAATGGAGACGTGAACGATACGACCCGAGCGGAAGCAACGCGAGTCTGTTTGACACATAAGCCAATTACAACGTACACGCGAGCCGCCGGCTGGACGATTCTGAATTTCGAGCTTCTCGCTAGTCTCGGCATTTCCACCCAGTGCTAATCCAGTTTAACAGTGACGCTTGCTCTGTCGCCGACTGAACACCCCTCTATGTTCTGCTCTTAATCTGCTAGCGTTGCCGCCAGCCTACTCGTCAACGTCTTTCTGCATTTCGGACCGCCGCCAGGTACCATACTCACCAGTAGTCAGTTGTCGGTTTTTATGCTTTCAGTCAACTCAAAGTGTCAGAAGAAGGTATGCTAGTGCTCTCGGGGTTGGCTTGAATTGCTGTTTGGGGCTCTTGTGTTGTTACTCTAGGCGGGAAATGTACTCATTGGTGCACTACCTCATCATGCTGGTTCAAACATTTGAAGCTTTAAGAGAGGAATGACTATAGAGAGTATGTTTTATGCTGTAAATCGTGTACAATTGTCCACCATTATTACAATTTATCGATCTACACCACAAGCCACGCACCACACCTTCCGTTCTCAAATCCCATCGCTGACATGGCAGGATCCTAGCCGCAGAGAAAGGCCGTCAGTATTTCCTTTCACCGGAACATCGACCAGGTACATCCATCCAACCGTCACTCCTCCACAGCTATTTCCTTGAGTGAGGTGAGGTGAGGTGGTGTGTGCTGTGCTTCCTCACAGCAAAACTTCACGTCCATGACACGCACATCAGACTTCTCAAACTTCCAGAAAATTGGGGATGGGGAGCGGGGGCGCGTGGTCACTCCAATGCTGTCTGCTTCGGCTCGAAACTAGCAGCCACAACGAGACGACAACTGCGTAACCTTCTTCCATATTTATTCTCATAGTTGCTGTCGATTGATGGCGATGCGACGTAGATAATTCTCCATAGCGCCACTAATCATAATGCGGACTGGGTATCCCCAGCTGTCGAAGTGGCTCCTTAGCGCCACTAACCCAGCTCTCGTTTTAATTCTCGCGCCATTTCGCCAAACAAACCAGATTCGAGCCGCGCGCGCCATGGATTTCGACGAGTTTCACCTCTTGCCCGTCGAGCACGCGAGCCAGGCCCATCGATGGCTCGCGGTCGCGTCGTGCAATCTCGTCACAGCCTCGCTCGTCTTCTTCCTCATTCGCCACCTACCCAAAGGCCTCCCTCGCCTCCTCGCCCTCTCCCCCATAATCCTCCTCAACATCGCCCTCCCCTGCGTTTTTTCCGCCGCGAAACGCAGCGAGTGCATCGAGAAGGGCCTCGTGTTCTGGACCGTGTCGTGGCTCGGCAATTTCCGCCTGCTCGCTCTCGCGTGGAACCGCGGCTCGCTCACGGACCCGGGTTACTCCTCCAGCTTTCTTCAATTCCTCGTCGCGCTATACATGCCCATGCGAAATCGCGTTCGCGAAACGGCGAAAACCGCCGTCTTTTCGCCTGAAACCCCCAACAGAAAGCAGTCCCGCCGCCACAAGCAGCCCGCATCCGAATCCTCGCCGCAGCTGCTTCTGCGAGGCGCATTAAAAGCATTCCTCCTCTCTCTCACCATCCGAGCATACGCTTTCAACCTCCCCGCGCCGGCCGTGACGCTGCTGCACAGCGCGAACCTCTTCCTCTTCGTCACGCTCCTCTGCGAACTCGTCGCAGGGGTCGTCGCCGCCGTCGCCCCGCGCTTCGCCGTGGAGCCGCACTTCCGTCGCCCGTACCTGGCGACGTCGCTGGGGTCGTTCTGGGCGCGCCGGTGGAACCTCGTGGTGAGCGGCAGCCTCAGAGAGACCGTCTTCGAACCCATCTTGGACTGGCTTGAAGGCCCTAGCTGGTCGGACGGAGAGCGGGCAGCTGAGAAGAGAGCGGGAGGGAAGGAGGGTAATTCTGAGTTTGGAAATGGGTATCCAGCAGCCAATGGGGGGCATGATGCGGTGAATGGTCGCGGCTGCGGGGTTTCTGATGGGTTAGAAGCGGTTGAGAAGATAAATGGCTGCAGTGAGAAAGTGAATGGTTACAGTGAGAAGATGAACAGCTGCAGTGAGAAGGTGAATGGTTATAGTGAGAAGATGAACGGCTGCAATGAGAAGGTGAATGGTTACAGTGAGAGGATCAACGGTTGCTACCAAAGGAGCAGTCGGAAGCAGGAAATGGGTTGTGTGAACGGGGCTGGAGAGAATCAGAAAGGGCTCACTGACAACTGTGGTGACACTTGTTGGTTAGACAAGGCAAAAGCAACGAAGCAGAACGGATGCGCTGCACCTGCTGCCGCTGCTGGTACTACCGGTACTTCTCCGAACAGGCACAGACGCCATGTGAGCTTCCCCAGGGCAGCAGCAACAATAGCCTCGTTTGCTGTATCCGGAGTGATGCACGAGCTGGTGATTCTGTACATAGGTGGAGCCATGACAGGCGAGCAGATGGTGTTTTTCACCCTACATGGAGTACTGACCGTGGCAGAGGCATGGATGAGGAAGGAGTGGGGGAGGAGAGAGCTGGTGCCGATACCTAAGGTGGTGGCAGGAGGGCTGGCTCTTGGGTTGCTGCTGTCCACAGGACATGTGCTCTTCTTTGAGCCGTACCAGCGATTAGGTGTCATAGGGTGTGTTGTGGAGGGGCTTCAAGCCCACTTCTCGCAACTCATGAAGTTAGCTTCATAAGGAAGACAATGCAAAAGCTGTTTTTTACAACCATGCATGCCAGACTTTTCACAGTACCGCACATTACAGTCTGCAAGAACCTCTCCCACCACCTTCCCAGTTGAATCTCTTCACTCCCTAGTCCTACCCCCTGCCCCCAACCCCTACCCAGCCCTAAAGGCCAACTTCTCTGCTGCTACTGCTTGCGCCAGCCTCTGCAGATACCCGGAAACAGCAAAACCCTTGTCATTTCGAAGCCCTAGTCACCAGGGTCGCAAACCTTGCTGCACATGGCGTTGGCTCCACACTTCATCTAAGCACAATTATTTATCTGCGACGCAAGTGACATGAGAAAGAAACGTTGGGCCCAGATGGGTTTGGGAATAGGAAAAGGAAGCAATAAGACAAAGGCCCTCTGAGCAACAAGACTGAGGTTGCGTTACGATGATTTTGTGAAGGAAACGAGCCATCATGAACGAAGCACTGCAAGTTGGCCTGAAATGATCCATTCAAGCACGGCATGGTAAGGTGGCATTGAGTCGGACCGGGCAGGAGAAAGCAGAGCGCAAGAGGGGGTATCACAAGCACTGCAAGTTGAGTCATCACAAGCACTGCAGTGGGTGAAACCAAATTTCATATGCCTGGCGGCAAGTGGCAAGGTGACAAGATGAACAGGAGGCACAGTACGCACCAGCCTCGCAAGAAAGAGAAGCAAATTTGGGGACCTCCAGCTTGCTGCAAGGACGAGAGGAACAGCACGTTCAGAGGAGATGTTAATAGGATACGCCAGAACCAAGTTAAGACGATGTTGATCATAAGGAGGCATGACCCGAGGCACGAAAGTCACAACAGTGGCTCACAGCAATACCACCCCGCATCACCCACCCAGGGACATGCCGCATCACCCACCCAGGGACATGCCGCATCACCCACCCAGGGACATGCCGCATCACCCACCCAGGGACATGCCGCATCACCCACCCAGGGACATGCCGCATCACCCACCCAGGGACATGCCGCATCACCCACCTGGGCCGGAGGAAGTTTTTCTTCAGATTGGGGACTTGCGGCTTCACGGTTTCGGCCACCGGCGCACCCTGGCAGGCACCCTTCGTGAAGAACCTGACCTTGCTGCACACCACTTGCTGCTTCCCGTTTAAGCCGTTGCTCTGCCGCGGCGCTCCCAGCCACCACACTTCCACGCCCTGGCTCCCCTCGTTGAGAGACGCCTGGGCAGAAGGGTCAAGGGCAACGCACGTGGCTGGGGCGTCGAAGTTGACGAGGCGGTGAGCTGGCACCACGTTGACCTGCGTGGCCACCCGCACCAGCGCCTTCACTGGCCGGCCCATGCTGTGTCCCCCACCCCCCACCCCAACTCCCGCTGACATGTCGGCATTCCCATTGTCCACAGCCATAGTAGATGCAGTAAATCTGGTCTTTATTAGGAGGCTCCTCCTCGCAGTCACAGCGCTGCTCGCGCCGCCGCCCACTTGCACGCGCGGCGTGTTCCGGCGATCCGCTCCGCGCTCGCCTGACGCCACGTGAGCCGTGGCGACCGCTGGACGCAGAGAGAGCAGACGGGCGAGAGGATTAGAGCGTGCACCTTTCCCGAAGCTTGAGAAAACGCGGCAGCCGAAACAGGGAGAGAATGATATAAACGAGTCACCGGAGGTGACGCCAAGGACAAGTAACGGACGTAGAAAAACAAAAAAAGAGACGTTTTGAGACGTTTCGAAACGTCTCAAAAAACTGTCATGTCTCAAAACGAGAACCGACTCACCGCAGATGACGGCAAGGACGAGGAACGGAAGCAGCACGGGGGGGGAAGCGACCATGATGACCAGCGGGTTCAAGCTACCACGTCAGCAGTGGGTGCACGCACAACCGAGTGACTGGAGCCTCCGGCGACAAGCGACAGGCTCTCGGATGACGGGTAATATAGCCGATACAGGTATAGATAGTCGGTGGTATGACTGTTGGCGCTACTAGTACTAAGATATGGCAGAAGCGGCGGAAGCGTTGAGTCCATGGCTGATCTAGCCGGTGGCTTAAAAACGAAATTCGGACGCTCCCAGTGGGAGAGCCCAGCACTCGAGGCTCGCAGTCCCATTAGGAGCGCTAGGAACGCGATCGCGCGTGGCTAGAACGGGTCACAGCGCAATCGTCGGCCTTCGCGCTGGAAATGGAGTTGGTGTTCAAAATGAAGCGAGAAATGCGGTGGCAGTGCGAACACCGAGGAACGCGTACATCAGTGCTGGAAATGGGGTTGGTGATCAGAGCGTGGTTGAACACGGTCAAGCGCTTGGGCGTGGTTTTGGTTGTTCACCGCATTAGACCATTGCGCACCAGGTTGAACCATTTTCTGACGAACCAGGAACAAAAACCCGCTCTCATCAGTGCGAGCAAACCTGGCTGATGAGCAGCGATGGGGCTTGGCTGCCCATAAAAGTCTTTTGACTGGGATGGGAGGGAGGGAATTCCGCTTTGGGCAGCCATTCTGTGCGAGTAGCGAATGTGTTCGAGCAATAGAACTGTGCGGGCAGATTCAAATCTGCAATAATGCAGCTTCTTGTTCTGTGATTGGCTTCCGCGACAACTCATAAGATCTGTATTTGCGACAAGAGACAGGTTACACTGCGTACAAGCGAGCCAATGAAAACATTCTGCGAAAGAAGTGCGACATGTCCCAGCTCGCAAGTTCTGCTCACCACGATCAGCATGGGAGGTTTTTCTTCGGAAGGACGTTTTTATACACATCTGAATACCGTATGGCGAATAAAGTAGCACACCTCGCGAGTCGCGCCTCTCGCTGCCTCACGACGGGTCCTTGTGAGCGGCCTCGCGCTGACAGATAAATAGCTATGACATCGGAGCCGTAGCAGCCGCTTCTTTCTGCGAACCGTCGCTCGTCTTGAGGCATGGTCGAACCATGCGTGTCAACGGAAGGCAGCGCGTCAGGAGAACAGACGCCAAGTGTTTTTCCGCTGGACCCGACGGCTCCTCGCTCCCTGCAGCCGCAAAACCCGCCTCACACCCCGTTAGCGCCGCAAGAAACCGGGCAATCGCGGTGGAGCTTCGCCGTCGTCAACGTGTTCCTGTAGTGAGTGTCTCGCTAAGGAGTTGTTTTCTCTCGTAATACTACTATTAGCGATCGCTGTGTAGCGGCATGCCGCCACCGTCGATGGGTACACGCGACGGTGTGAACGCGACGCAATCAAAACGGCTACTTACTCAACCCAAAGTCATCGTTGAATCGCCTCATGGGCAGTCGGCCAAGGAAGTAGTAAACGCGCAGCCAGGCAGCCGAACGGTTCTGTAACGCCCCTTGCCCTTCCCTCCCCCCCCACCCCCCCGCCTCCCCACTTCCGCACACACACCTTCGATACCCCCCTCCCTCTCGCCACACCCTCCCTCCTGCATCCCCCATCCCCCCAACCCCATCTGACATCCCCCATCTGCCTTCTCCCGTCCGCTTTCCCCGTCACCCCCATCCGCCTTCCCGCTTCCGCCTTCCTCCTGCCGCCCTTCCCCCATCCGCCTTCCCCCCCATCTGCCGCCCCCCATCCGCTTTCCCCCATCCGCTTTCCCCCATCCGCATTCCCTCATCCACATTCCCATCCGCGTTCCCCCATCCGCCTTCCTCCATCCGCCTTCCCCTATCCGTCTTCCCCCATCCACATCCCACATCCGCCTTCCCCCATCCGCCTTCCCCCATCCGCCTTCCCCCATCCGCCTTCCCCCATTCATCCACATCCCCCCATCCGCGTTCCCCCATCCGCGTTCCCCCATCCGCATTCCCCCATCCGCCTTCCCCCGTCCGGCTTCCCCTGTCCGCATTCCCCCACCCGTTTTCCCCCGTCCTCAAATCCCCCCATTCTCTCGCATTGGTAGCCGGGAACCGGTCCTTATGCAACGAGCTATGCAACGAGTTGCAGCGCAGCACGGTGCAAGTTGGTGCAGTGGAGGCAAGCCAACGTAAAGATCACCCTTCCCACTCCCCCATATCCTCAACTCCCCCCTCCCTCTCTCAGGACCCTCCCCCTATTCCCCCTCCTGGCTCCTCTGTTCCCGTTCTCCATACTTCCCTTCTCTCCCAGTGACAATCGCTCCAGGCGCCGCCCTCATGGAACCCTCATGCAACGAGCGACAGTGCAACCCTTGTTCCCCCTCACCTCCTCCCTTCTCTCCCAGTGGCAATCGCTCCAAGCGCCGCCCTCATGCAACGAGCAGGTGGTGCCTTGTAGAGCAGCCGAAGATCACCCTTCCCCGCCCCATACCTCCAACTCCCTCTCCCTCTCCCTCTCCCGGGACCCTCCCTTGTTCCCCCTCTCCTCTTCCTTCTCTCGTAGTGACGATCGTGCTGCGGAGATAACTACTACAACGGGAGCTTGACTACGGGCTAGGCACGGGTGCTCGTGTGATCTCTGTGTTCGTTGGTCCTTAGTCGTTTTCCTAGTGCACACACAGCTTGCTAGTCCACGGGGAGAATTGGCAAGAGCTTCACTAGAGAAAGTTGACAACAATGGTACAAAAAAATTGGCATGGCAAGACTACATCAGAGCTAGCATTCAGGTCGGTCGACTGCCAGCGCAGCATGGTCGACCGCGTTCCAGCACGACTTGGTCGACCGCGCTCCAGCGGTGCAAAGTCGACGGCGTGTCAACACTGCAGGTTGACGGCGTGCCAGCGTTGCTCCCACAGAACAGCAGCGCACCTACTTCGCAGGTGCTCGCAGATGATTGGCAGGCTAAGCCTCGTCACTTGCACAGCGCACACACCGTGTCAACCTGGCGCTGACGACTGCATCTGATCAGCCACATCGACCTCGGGATACCACCACCGAGATCGGACTCGCCAACTTCGCCTGGGCGACCGGCGCACTCCTCCGCAGAACCTCGTCACCCAGGTAACCTGGTCGACCGAGCAACCACGTCGACCAGCTGCTCTTGTATGTGCCCGTCGACCTCCCAAGTCGACGACCACCCCAAGTCGACGTCACTCCTGGTCGACCAGCTCCACGTCAACTAGCACTCCTGGTCGACCAGCTCCATGTCGACCAGCGCAGTTGTCAGCCGACCGCCCAAGTCGGCTTCCCAAAGTCGGCGTCACCAAGTTGACGTCCTGCTACTCGACGCCCAACTGCTCGGCGTCCTGAGTCGAGGTCGACGTCGACCCCTCCTTCGTCGACCACCAGGTCAGGTCGACCACCAGTAAGTCGACCAGCAGGTCTGGTCGACCAACCGCCAGGTCGACCAGCAGTCCTATCAGCCGACCACCCAAGTCGGCTGCCCCCAAGTTGGCGTCACCAAGTTGACGCCCTCCGCAGGTCGACTTCCCAGGTCGACCTCCCTGAAGTCGGCGCCACCCTGAAGTTGGCGCCCGTGCAGTGGTCCCCGTGCAGGTCGACCTCTTCGTCAACCAGCTCTCCCATTGCTGTAGGTCGGCTGCTCCCCTCACATCCGACCACGAAGTCGGCTCCGCCCAAGCGAGGATGGGGCCAACACACAACTCCCGTCAACACGTGCCACGCGCCGGCCCTCATGCAACGAGCAACAGTGCAGCAAGGTGCAGGTGGTCTCATGGAGGGGAGGCAAGGCGAAGATCACCGTTCCCCCCTTCCCCCTAGCTTCAAGTCCCCCGTCCCTCATTCCCGTTCTCCAATCTTCCCTCTTCCCGCAGTGACGATCGTGCCAGGCGCTGGCCGGCATGCAGCGAGCTGCAGTGTAGCAAGGTGCAGGTGGTGCCGTGGAGGCAGGGTGAGAGGCGCACTGCAATGGAAAAGGGCGAAAGAGACAGGAGGGTCCAAGGGGGTGATGGAGGGGAGGGGGGTTTGAGAAGCAGCGGGTGGGTGGCAGGTGAAGGGCCCGAGGATGAAGAGGAGGAAGATGGAGGGCGTGAGGATGAGGAGCTGGCAGGCGCCATGGCTGCTCTTGGCCTGTTAGTGCAGTTCAGCGGAGGGGCGCGGGCTGTGCAATCAGCACAGGAAGTTAAGGTGAGTGGGGAAGGTATGGCAAGTGGGGAAGGTATGGCAATTGGGGAAGGTATGGCAAGTGGGGAAGGTAAGGTAAGTGGGGAAGGTATGGCGAGTGGGAAAGGTAAGGTGCGTGGGGATTCGGAGCTGGCAGGCGCCTTGGCTGCCCTTGGCCTACCAGTGCAGTTCTGTGGAGGGGCCTGGGCCGTGCCCCTGGTGAACTCAATTTTCTTTGAGGCACTCTCTTGCGTCTTCAACCCTCTCCATTGCAGGTTATCTGTGGATGGTTGTGCCGAATAGGGCTGTAAGGTTTGCACGTTTTTGAGAACTCTCATAAGTCGCAATTGAGAATCCTCAAAAGCAAATGATCAAAAGCGGTTGTGCTCATGGTGGAGGCGAATAGGGCTGTAAGGTTTGCACGTGGATGTCCACAAAACGTTTCTTTGAAACACCTCGAACCCCTTCTCACACCCACTATTTTTGTGTATGCTGCAGCAGCAGGGTGGTGGTGTTGGTGGTGGTGGCAGTGGTGGTTCTGGTGGGGCTCGTGGAGGGACGAAGAAGAGGCGGGGGAGAAGGAGGGGAGATGGAGAGGCAACAGCAGAGTGCGTTACAGATGCAGGGATAGAGGGTGGTGCAGAGAGCATGGCAGGGGTGGGTGCAGCGATAGTAGTGGAGGGTGGTGCACATGCAGCAAGGCAGGTTGCTGCTGATGCAGTGAGAAGGGCTCTCACAGGGGCAGCGGCAGAGATTGCTGGAGGAATGACAGTGGTGGAGAGCGGTGTAGAGGCAGTGGGGGGGAACGGTGCAGAGGCAGTGGAGGGCGGCATGAAGAGAACAGCATGGGTTGCAGAAGTAGAGGAGATGGGGCTGATGCTGCCACGTCATCAGGAGGCGGTGGTGCTGGCGCGTCGGCAGGAGATAGCGGCGCCACTTGTGCAGAAGATGGTGATGCCACGTGTGATGGCAACACTGCTGTGTTAAGTTCAGAGGAAGAGGTTCTAGAGCACTGGGGAGTCCAAGTAAAAGCGGAGGAGGAGGAAGGGAAGGGGCAAGTTGAGGCGATGGGCAGGCAGGGAGGAGAACAGGAACCAAGAGGTAGCTTCCTGGACAAAGGGAGGTGTGGCGATGGAAAACGCGAGCAGCGGTCTGAGCACGCAGCAGGCATGATGAGGGTTCCAGCAGGTGTGGCGGGTGCAGCAGGCGTGGTGATGTGGGGTGGGCGGCAACACCATCCACCTGGCCAAGCTGTGAGTCTCATGCTAAGGACGCGTGGCGCTTCTAGAGCCAACTGAACTCACTTCTCAGTAACCTACCTGTGGCGAAAAGGGAGGGGGGGGCGTATGAGAGTGAAGCAGGCATGGTGTTGGATGCGTTCTGCGGGGTGGGCGGCAACACCGTCCATCTGGCCAAGCTGTGAGTCCTGCCTAGCGGCTGGGAGGTCTTCTGGGATCATGTAATTTCCAGTAACCCGTCCCTTCTCAAGCGGCTCAGCCCAGGTAACCCAGCTAACCCGCCTGTGCCGAGGAGACAACGCCCTACAGGAGTGGATTAGGGGCGGTCTTGGATGGATTCTGCGTGGGGGGCTTTTTGGGCTGGTTGACATGACATCCCAGTGGGGGAGGATTGTGTGAGAGGCAGATGAGCAGAAGGACCATGTGCTTCACTGTCACGGCTTCGTAACAGCGGCTCTTTTGGTATCTTCATTGTTACTTCTCCTACTTCATTGTTGCTTCATTGTGTAGAGACTCCGCTAAACAGTTTCTACCTCCCCCCTTCCATGCCACAACCACAGCATTCGTTTCCTTTTTTTTTTTTGCTTCCACATCCCACCCTGTCACACTTCTCGTTCCCCCTTCCCCACCTCCCATTTCTCCCAGCTGCCCCCACGTGCTGGCCATTGACATGAGCCTGCCTCGCCTCGCCATGCTGCACCACAACCTCAGATTCTACGGTCTTCAGCTGGCCCACCGAGTGGATGCAATTTGTACCGACTTCCTCAGCGTTGCGCCGCGGCTTAAAGCGACGGTGCACATTTGCCACCCAAAACCCAGAACCCTGGCGAACTGTTACTGCGGATGGAAAGTGTCCGCACGAAATCCTGGTTTTCGCCAGCCAGCACTTTCGCGCTGGCAAGCCTGGTTAAAAAAAAAAACTTCTGAACCCAACACTGCCAAAAGTTGCTCGTCGCTTTAAGGTGAGGCATGGGAGAATCTGTGAGGTGTCTTATGATTTGCACTGTATCCCCTCACAGCACGAGCGGATGAGCTTTGCGCCGATTTCCTCAGCGTTGCACCGCGCCTTAAGGTCAATGACTGCATGCATGAGGCATGCGAACACTCATGAGGGGCTTTGAGGTTTTCACTGTCTTCCTCTTCTTTGCACCACGGCCCTGACATCCGTGTGGCCACCCATACCCATGCCACATCCGCCCGTGTGATGTGCCATCCGCCGTATTTCCACCCCCCATCGCATCATGACTCTGCTGTCGTATGTCCCCTTGCCTCCGCCGTTTCGCATTTCGCTCGCTCGTCTGCCTAAAGGGCTGGCTGGCTGATGTGGTTCTTGCCGCCATGCCCACATCCCCCATGCAGCATGTCTTCGTGCCGCCATGCCGTCATGCTCCCACCCCAAATGTGCCTTTCCCTTTCACTGTGCCATCATGTGCTGCAGGGCAGGCTGATGTTGTCTTCCTGTCCCCCCCATGGGGCGGCCCGGAGTATCTCGACCAATCAGAGTACGACATCTGTATCATGCTGCAGCCAGCCAGCGCGTACGTGCCGCCCTTGAGTGCCCTTTACATACCCTCCACGATCAAGTGTCCCTTTCGGAACTTCTCATTCTGTTATGGTGTTGAGTGGAATTTGGAACCTCTCGATCCATGGCCTCACGCTTGCTGACTAGCCCTCTACAAAACGGGGAGGGTGATAGTAGGCTGAATTTTTGTTCGAAAAATCTCAAAAACAGATTCAGCCTCACGCTTGCTGACTAGCCCTCTCTCCGCCCTCCACTGCACCCTTGCTTCCATTGCCTTTCCTGCTTCCCTCAGTTTGGTACCGGGGACCGCACCACTTGCATGCAGTTTCGCAAGTCCACAAAACTGCATCAAATCAGAATTACAAATCAAATGAGAATTACAAATCAAATCAGAATCACAAATCGAATCAGAATTACAAATCAAGTCAGAATAACAGATTGAATCAGTATCAATAATCAAATCAGAATTAGAAACCAAAACAGAATTACAAATCCAATCAGAGTTACAATGCACTACATCACACTCGATACCATTGTTGTCTCCTGTGCTCCTTCCCATCCCCCATCTCTTCCCTGCTACAGCTGTCGCTGAGCATCGCTCCCTCCGTGGCCATGTACCTGCCTCGCAACACTCCCATGCACCACCTGGAGCAAACTCCACCCTCTGTACCACCCTTGGATTTGTTGCCTGTCCCCCCTCCTCGCAGCTCTGCGCTGCTGCAGTTGTCGCTGAGCATCGCCCCCTCAGTGGCCATGTACCTGCCTCGCAACACTCCCATGCACCATTTGGCGCATCTCGCTCACTCTGTCACGCCTTCAGTGTCAGAATCCCAACCACTAGACCATTGGGATAAAAAGGCTTGTTAAGTAGCGGGTCAGTGCGCCCATAACCCCCCAGGACAACGAGCCTGTAACCCTTCCCTAGGATTAATCGGGGATCACCAGTGGACCTCTGACATTCAGGTCCCTGCCTGGTGCGTGACTCATGACTCATGCCACAACTTGCTACAGTCCTGATAACTGTTCACTAGGAGACAAAGATGCGGGTGGGTGCTAACATGTGCTTGGCATTCTTGTCTCAACCTTCGTTTTCATGCTGCAGGTGGAGCGGAATTTCTTGAACGGGAAGTTCAAGACTATCACGGCATACTTTGGCACGATAGCACGTGTTTCCAGATGCATTGAGTGTCGGAATATCCGTATTGTACATCGACATTAATAATCTGGTCATGCCAGGTATTTTGATAAAGACAGGTATATTCAGAATATCCATTGCACGTGTTCCCAGATGCATTGAGTGTCGGACTATCATTAATGTACATTGACATTTATTCTCTGGTCATGTCTGGAGACTAGAAAGCATGATAACACAAAAATATCCAGAATATACAGCTCCACTATTATAATAGCCATAGCCTTAGGAGACATGGTGTCGCGATCAAACGATGATCGTTGCCAGGATCACCTCACGAAGGTTCGCACACTTTGGTCTAGTGGTGGTGGGCCCGTGACCTCAATAGCAGAGTGAATGTAAAATGCTTGAGATGATAAAAACATGCAAATACAACGATATAAATATGAGTACAGGGGAACTTGAATCGTCCTAGCTAGCCATGTACTCTGAGGGGTACATTCCCTTATTCAACTTCATTCTCAACCGTTCGGCGCGTACAGTTACGAAACTGTTTCCGCCAAGATCCTCCTCCGTGCAGCTCCGACGGTTCGGATGCATCTCAACCGTCTGTCGTTTCGAGTCAACTCTGACTCTTAACATTCGTTCTCGATACTGCATGCTTCTTTAGCTGCGGTCGGGAGTGTATTGTAATCTTCATTCGTTGCTATTCGTAACACCCCCCTTCACTCCTGGCCGTAGCTCGACTTGACCTCCTTGACCACACCGCTGAGTTCGGAGCAGTGTTGGTACTGCTGGCGTGGCAGTCGCTTCGTGAGAAAATCTGCTGCCATGTCACCGGTCGAGCAATAGGTCAAATCAACCTTTCCCTTGTCCACTTCGTCCTTCACGAAGAAGTACCGCAGCGCAATGTGTTTGGTGCGATTGACGAAACCAGGTTTGTTCGCAATGCGAATCGCGCTCTGGTTGTCACAGTGAAGGCGAAAGGTGGGCGAAGCTGGGATTTTCGCTTCCTACAGAAGTTCCTGTAGGTAGAGGCCTTCGCGAACTGCTGCGGTTGCTGCAATGAATTCCGCTTCGGCTGATGACAAGGCAACCAGCTCCTGTCTCTGCGAATTCCAGGAGATTGGTCCCGTTGGTTCGAGTCGGAACAGGAAGCCAGTCCTGGACCGTCGATTGTCGGGATCTGCTGCGTGATCGGGGTCCACGTAGCCGATTAGGTTGAAAGATGGGGTTGATGCAGTCGAGTAGCACATCCCAATCTTGGGCGTTGAAACGAAGAACTGTAGGGCGCGCTGCAGGTCCAGAAGATTTTCAGCCATTGGCTTGCGTGAGTACTGGGCCAGCTGACTTGCGATATAGGAAAGGTCAGGCCTGCATGTGACAGAGGCAAAGAGCAGGCATCCCAGCTGCTGCTAGTAAGTCTGAACTCCAGCAGGGGATAGGGCTTTGTTGTCAGGTTTGTGGTTCAGTCCCGGAGTTCGATAGGGAGTTGAGAGCGGTGCAGGCAAGATGTTGAACCGTTTCCCTAACTCCTCTGCGTACTTAGCCGCTGAGAGGTGAATGGCCTCGGGTGTGTAGGAGATGTTGAGGCCTAAGAACTGCTTCACCTCGTGGTTGCACGTGATGTCGACGCGCCTCGCCAGGCTTTTCTCGAACTGCTGGAGTAACTCGTTGCTTGAGCCTGTGTAAAGCAGGTCGTCGACGTAGACCGTGAGGAGAATGTATTCGCCGTGGAAATCACGGCGGTACATTCCTGGGTCGTGCGGCATCTGCTTGAACCCGATTTCAAGCAGGATGTTGTGCAGATACTGCTGCCAAAGCCTTGGTGCCTGTTTTATCCCGTACAGGAACTTGCGCAGCTGGCATACGCGCGAATCCCCTTCGCCGTATGTGTGCGGCTGCTCCACGTAAATCACGGCGTCTACCAATGCGTACAGGAACGCATTCTTGACGTCAATCTGGCGGAGAGGTAGATGTTGGTGCAACCCTACGGTTTGCACTCGGCTTCTTGTCCGTGTGCGTGCATGCGTGTGTGCATGGAATGGAATGAGTGCATGAAATAAATATATATTTCATGCTTATAATAGTGTGTGAATGATGGGTCATGATGTCGAGTGTGTGTGTCAAGTCAATAGCGAATTATCGCTAGTCGCGTGTAACGTGGTCGTTTTGTGTGTCCCGCGTGGTTTCTATTTTGTCGTCCGCGGTTTCTATTTTGTCGCATGTCGAACGTTCGGCGTGTCGCAGGTGTGTGCAGCAGACCCATCAAGAACTCAAGGATGAGTTTGTGATGAAGAACCCGAGCCCCTGGTGTCAACATTCAAGTGATCGCGAAGCTCGCCAAAAGGGTACACCTCAAGAAATTGAAGATAGTTACATTACTTTGTGTAGTGTAACATTTCACTTGGTGTAGGCCCTAGTGAAGGGTAGTTTCGAGACCCTTCGTGGTTGGGGACAGTGTGACACTGTTCCACATCACTGTACCTCGGCTCTTGGGGGTTTGTAGGAGCTGGGAGTCATTCCCAACTCGTAACTCTCCCTAAGTCTTCCTATCTTGAGTTCTAAGACTATAGTGGCTGCCATAGTGCCGTTCGTTCAAACTGACGCTGTGTCGTCAATACTTGGTGAAATCATGCGATCCAAATTGCCTATTGTAGGCGATAATAAGACGCTCCAGATCCAAGTTGAATCAAGTCATTTGAAGCTGTGACCAGAACGCTATGAACGTTTGAAGCCGCTGTGCAGAAATCCGACTATGCACTCTATCTTTCGTTTTAGGCACATTGGAGCCTACTGTGACTATAACAGTAGATGCCTTGCAGCAGCGATGGCGAGCAGGATTCGGACGGAGGTGTGGCGGCTAAGTGGGGCGAACGTCTGGTCGAAGTCGATGCCGTGCCTTTGGTCGTATCCCCGTACCACCCAGCGCGCCTTGAAGCGCTCGATCGTTCCGTCCGCTACGGTCTTCACCCGGAAGACCCATTTGCCTGAGAGGACTCTTGCACCTGCCGCACGGTCGACTAACACCCAAGTATCTCGGGATTCAAGCGCCTTGATTTCTGCGTCCATCGCCTCTCGCCATTCTTTGCTGTGAGGTCCAGTGAGGGCTTGGCGCGGGTTTCGTGGCTCGATCACACGTGGCGCCTTCGAGGTTGCGGTGTGAAGCCCGAGCAGCTGCAATCCTGAGACGGTGCTGTCGTGACGACGTTGCGGGATGACTTCCTGCACATCGTCATCATCGCTCTCTGGTTCAGGTGGTGCAAGTGGTGCTGCGCCACTGCCGCTTCCGCCTGTTCCGCCCATTCCTCCTCCAGGAGAATTGTCGTCATCGTCGCTGCTGCGATCTCTCCATGTGAATTCGCCCCTGGTGTCCTGCTCCAGGATTGCCGCCGCAGCTTCGTCCTCGGGCGTTGCATAGCTGTGCCCGTTGTTTGCGTAGAGGCGGTTCGCATTCATCTGCTCGTCGTGGCGGAACTGGTCAAGGAAGACGCGTTCGTAGAAGATCACGTCGCGAGCGTGGGTGGTCTTCTGACTGAGCAGGTCCAGCACGATCCACGCCTTACGCTCGTGGCTGATGCCGAGGTGAACGCCCCAACGTGCGCGGCTGGCGAATTTGCCGATGGTCGACGTTGGCAGGCGGTATTGGACCATGCACCCCCACACGCGGAGCATGGACGTGTCTCCCTTGGTCCCGGTCCACTTTACATGTGGGGACAGGTTGACGGTGATGGCGGTGGATGAAAGCAGGTTGTGCACCCGCATGGCGTGGTGCATTGCGTAGGTCCAGTAGATCGGCGGCAGTTTCGGCTGCTTCATCAACGCCCGCACCTTTGTCATCAGCGTGCGGTTCGTCCGCTCAGCTACGCCCTGTTGTTGGTGTG